CTCTCTCTCTCTCTCTCTCTCTCTCTCTCTCTCTCTCTCTCTCTCTCTCTTAGGAGGACGACAAATATTAAAACTAATATAATAAATTAAAAAATAAAAAAAAAAGAAGAAGTAAGAAGTTAATGTAATAAAATATTAAAAATTGTCAACTCGTAATCTACCGAGTTACTTAAAGACTTCAGAAACTGTTTTAAGATATTATAATTTACATCAGTTCAGGGCACCTGTTTTAGCTTCGTAACCGACTAGATACAAGGCCGTTTAAATATATCTTAAACAAGTTTCCAAGTCTGTAAACGAAACAGCAAATGAGAGAGAAGATCCTTTCTTTAACAAATATGCAGTGTACTAATAGATTTAAATGTAACTTATTTTTACAAGAGTCGATTCCTGATTTTTTGAAACATGTAGGCCGACCTTAACATCTTTTATGATTAATTTCATGAGAGACAAAACCTTAAATTCTTAAAAATCGATCTGTACACATAGATACATTAATTATACGTCCTTTTTATCATGTTTGAGATGGATTGTTAGGTCAAGTTTCTGTAAATTAATGCAGTCTCAATGTATCTTTTGTGTACAGTTCAGTATCGAAATTATTGCAATCTCATAGAATATTAAGCTGGAAAAATTGTAACATTTTTAATATTTTTATTTTTTTCTCTTTTTGGTCTACTTAAATTTACTCCACTTAATTTGAAAATCTATTTTCGTTTACAATGTTATGCCAATGTACATGTGCTTGGACTAACTGTTGCTAACTTAAAATTATATATTTTAAGTCACACGAATTGGGCAGGATAAACTAGGGCAAATTTCACAATTATCATGCAGGAAGCATGCTAACTTTTTCGTGCTAACTTTTAAAGTAATATGAACTTACATAGAATTTGTGATATTATTAACTGTACTACATAATTACGCTAGTTCTTACGTAATTATATTCATTATTATATTTCTTATAGTATTTATTGAAACAGCATGAATAGGTAATTGTATAATTGTATAATTGTTTCCATGATATTCATTATATTTGACAAATATTAATTTCAATTAAACAAATATTAGTTAGCAAAAAATCGACATTCTTATACTTGTTGCTACATAATATTTATACATCTTTTTTCAGACCAGATAATTGTATGTTACAATTTATGTGAAATTATAAATAGGACCTTTACTCTGCCCTTACCTGCCCTATCCATGTATTGTGCCTTACTTTCTGATAACACATTTACACGATTTCTGTTTTCGGAACATTTATATGTGATTTTCATTCTTCTTTGGATATCAAATTCAAGATTGTTACATTATACATTTACAGTAGCTAATCTGTTTACATGTTTATTGATAGCAGATTTATCACAGTGATATAATGTTTTATTCCTCAAGTTATATGATTCATCTGAAATAATATTTCATACTTTTATTAACAAGATGTTTTTGAAATTATACTTATATCACTAAATTCTATCTGACCTGAATTAATCATCCCATTCATCATCATCACTAGTTTCACTAGTCGAATCATCAGTTTCGCTATGGATTGCACTTGATCGTTCAGCGAGCGCTCTCGACAAAGCACTAGCCAATCCTCCTTGAAATGCTGGTTTACTTTTAACTTCATTTGAAACGGGCCTCAACTCAATTCCTTGACGAATTTGTTCTAACAAAGCATTCCTCGAATCCCCAGAAGGAGGATTTTGTTTTATTTCAGATTTATCAATTTTCTATAACAGAAAGATGACATATAATCATCAAAATGTCATACAATTTAAATTTCATTACTGTAAATTGTTAATTTTAATACTAACTCGAAGTGTAGTGCCGTTTCTTATAGATTCCATGAGTGTCGATCTTAAATCAGCGATATCTTCATTATTATTGTCATTACTAGTATTATTATTATTATTAGTGGCACTTGTATTGACAGTTCCATCATCAGTGCTTGGTAATGGTGGAGGAGGTGGAACAACGGTTAAACTACTTCTAGTATGTGGAACTGGAGTTGGAACTGGTGGAGGTGGTGGTGGAGGAGGAGGTGGAGGTGGAGGTGGTGGCAGTGATGGCGCAGAAGTTAAAGAAGGTGGTGGTGGTCTAGATGGCAATGTCCTATGAACGGGAGGTGCATTAGCTGGTGCACTTGGTGGTGTTGAAGGTGCATTAATTCGGTTCGGAGGTAGTGGTGGAGCACTTCGTGTTTGATGCTGAAAAAAATATCATTTCTTTAAGACTGTTCATTTCGTATAATCATGTAATATTACAAAAAAAAAAATAAACAAACAGCTATTGTTCTTGCTGGAACTGGAGGTGGATATTCCTGTCTTTGAGGCGCTATCGGTGCTTGTTGCTGTTGCTGTTGTTGTTGTTGTTGCATTTGTTGTAATTGTTGTACACTAGATTTTGGGATAGACGAAGATATATCTTCTCTAATGGCATTCATACCGCCATTTTTTTCAATAAAATCGTAAATAAAATTACGCGTGTCTTGATTTCTAAATTGATGTTCTGATACACCAACTTTATCGAGAAAAAGTTTTAAATGTGGATCAACTTTCTCTAATTCCAATTCTTTGCTACTGTTATTCCATGCCCAATGCGTAACGTGTCTAAAAATATTAAAATAAATTTAAAAAATGTTTATTGAATGTAACCAAAACCATAAATGAACAAAAATTCGTTCATAAATTCATAAAGTTTTCTCACATAAAATTCGATGGAGGGCCAATATCATCTTTAGTTAATCTTTTCTTGGTTTTCTCTCGTTTCTTCTTTTTACTTGTGTACATAGAACTACTAGAAGCACTCCTATTCACACCAACTGTGGTTGGTGTTCCATTCAATAAATTGGAAGTTGATCCTGTACTAAATGCAACAGGTGATGTATTGCTTTGATTTCTCCATGGCAATGTTGCACCATGCTGAGTTTCTCCTTCTATCTTAGACCGTCTTTGTTGTCTTCTCTGACGTTTAGCATTCAGTTTACCAAGAAGAATATTTCTGAAAACAAATAACAATTGTTCAATTTTTCAGAATTAAATTTAAAACAAAATACGTCATAGTTCTTCAATTCAATTTAAAATTTTTATTCCACATTCTAGCAGAATAAAAATGTTAATTCTTTTATTTCCACAGCTTACCTTAACGTAACGGCATCTGTTTCATTCGCAAAATTAAAAGCAGCCATACAGTCTTCTGCTTCAAATGTGTGGAAGTAAGACAATGGTGCTTTATAATCCATTGCATTATATACTTCATGTTCCCACAACATTGCTTTCCTTTGTAAGCAATATAAGCGGAGGAAAAAACTACGTCTAGGGTTATCCCTTATCAATGTTATAATACCTGTAGTTTTCTTTATCCATTCTTTGTGTAAAGGTGGTTCAGTCAAATATAATTGAATAACCCCAGCTGCTAAACACTATAAGACATATAAAAATGATGTATTTCTTGCAATAATATATTATTTATTGAAAAACAATATCAATTAATAATAATACAAAATAGTCGCAAGCAATGTAAAAAAGTATAAAAATTAAGTAAAAATATATATATATAGAATTGCATCGTAGAAAATTTTTGCATAATAATGAACATTTTGATGCATTGTTTGACTCATTCATGACCAATGCTTAATTTTAAACATTGCAAGTTTATTCTTACAACAACCTTAAGTGAAAAATATACAGGAATATTATTGTTTTTATAAAATAATCGTTGAAATGTTTAACAACATTAAAAATTCTTTTTTGCACTGTTAAATATGTCAATAACGAAACGTAACTTATAATATAGAAAATTCTACATAAATGTGATATAAATGAAAGGCGCTGATATTTAGCTACGGTATTAATTACGACCAGATTATTTGCAAATAACGACAAAACATGTTTATCTATATCTGTCGATCAAAAGATAAAATTTAGGTCAAAATCGTTGTACTACAATGACAGTCACGACGTTCATGAATAAAAATCTCGATTGAAATAGCTCTTGCCTGACATCGATTCCCTATTAACTGGAAGACCTGCTCGTTTTCTTCCACCTTTAAAAGCGTGGAACCTCTGTGTTTGTCAGAGTTCACAGTGCCAGACTTCATTTTTAACAAGGTTAGGATCCTCGTACTATCGCGCTGATTTCCTGTTGCGTTGTTCCTTCTCGATCGACGGATCCTCTCTCATAAGCAGTGTATTCCACTTCTCGACATTTCTCGCAGGCCGAGTGGACACGTTGACGCAGAAATTCGCGGAACTACGGCTGATCAATCATCCTTTGCGAAGCCTATTCTCGATACTATACCCACACAGGAAACTCCGCCAGTTAGCGATGACATTTTTATCTATCCGGTTCAATGTTCCACGTTTCCTCATTCGATATACATTCTTGCTCTCAAATCAGATTGGACCCCATGAATTGCCGCTGGCCACTGCATTTATCGTTATGCGTTTTCGTCAATTATAAATTTTCAACAAGATTAGTTAGTTTCTTAATCGTATGTGACTATGAAAAAGATTACAAAAAACGTACGTGGAGACGTACTTTCGACACGTTCGATGTTTCTCACTTTATCTTACAACTGAATTATTATATCAAATAAACGGAGCAAATGTACATAGTAACAGTTACAACATTCTATTTCGTAAATTTAAAACACTCCTTACTTATATTTTTTATATTATATTAATTTTACTTATGCTTTATACATGATATTTTTCATTATACACACACACACACACACACACACACACACAAAGTAAAAAATGAAAAATATCATGTATAAATATGTACACACCGCGCGCGCGCTTACACACACATTGCATTTGTATTGTATCTATACTTAATTCATTAACTTCTTTCTTTTTATTATTTCAAGAATGTTACATTAACACACATACTGCAACTAACAGAATATATAACGTAAGTTAGAACAGTACGCACATGTATTTTTGTTTTACTATTTGCTGTAGCAGGTAAATGCAAATGTAAATATTGTCAGAATGAACGTTCACTATTTGTATATAATGGTGACTTTAATATCACAAAGAAAACAAAATTTCAAACAACGATTAAAAATTGCTCTGCGTCTCTAAATTCATGCACGCTTGTATACGTTTTCGTTGGAAATTTAAATTTTTAGCGGGTTTTATTATCCTTCGTTGTCGCTATAATCACACAAACTGCAAATGGCCACGGGTGCAATTCATGTAGTACCAGAAATGCGATATCAAGCGCGATCTTGTTTTGTATGCGAAATAACATCGTCAATGACGATGAGGAGACAGTGATTATTGTTACGCGTGCAATCTCCGGAAATAAAGCTATCCGCGATTTTCTTTAAGGTCGCGCAGTTAAGTTTTCCGCGGGAAAACAATGTCCGGATATCGAAGAGTGAATTACTACGAACTGTGCAGATTGTGTACCAGCAGCGAAGGTACCAAAATGAACATTTTTCGGGAGGAAGGTCGCAGACTGCAGCTACAAACGAAAATTCAGACGTACTTGCCTATACAGGTGAGGCTTCGTATCTCCCTTTATAGTCGAGACAAGATTTTGGTAATTTCAATTAATCAGACAATCTCTTATTGATGTCTGTGTACGGTCATTGTAACTTGTTTTCTGTTTGATAATTTATAATTTAATTGAATCATCGTGCCAATAAACGGTATGCATAATTGCACTTAATTTGAACTTTAAGGTTTTGGAAGAGGATTCTTTGCCAAAAATTGTTTGCCACGAATGCGTAAAAAAATTAGAGAATTTCATTGAATTTAGAGAGGCGGTCGTGAGTGCAGAGGGTATGCTAGAATCTTATTTCACTTCGTTGCGATTCTCTGAGGATTTCTTGAAGGAAGGTAAGGTTTATGTGAAAAGCACGGAAAAGGACAGACCTGCAACACCTGAGAATGAAGTATTAAAAGGAATAGAAAAGATAACACCAGCACAGGGAAATCAAATAGTCAATAATGATCAACAAATACAACATCAACAGCCTGTTGTTGTTAGTAATATAAATGCTTCGAATATTCAAATTATTAGTGGAGTTCAAGCAAGAGTTCAACAATATAAATGTGCCATGCAGGTTAGTCAATAAAGAAAATATCAATAGTTATTTTTATATGATGCCAATACCGATTAATATTAATATCTGTTTTAGATGCAACCAGGGGGTATGGCAGCTGCTGTTGTAGAGGCAACAGCAGAAACTCATTATAGTTATCAGCAACAAACTTCACAGCAAGTATCTCCTCAACAATCAAATGAAGCACAAAATCAAATTAACGACCAACAAACTACAACCTCGCAAATTCAAGTGCAAAATCAAATTCAGAATCATGGACAAATAAATCAACAAATACAGTCACAAAGACAAATCTCGCAGCAAATTTCTCAATCACAAAATCAAACACAAGTTAATCAACAACAAAATCAGTCACAAATTACACAACAGATTCAACAGTTACAAAGACAACAAAGAGAGTTTGAAAAACAACATAGACAGCTTCAACAAATTGAGAAACAGGTGCAAATTGCTACACAACAAGAATTTCCTATTAAACAGGAGTCTCAAAATCAAGTAGTACATCAAAATAATAATATCATTTTGAAGGCAGAACCTGAATCTAAGCAAAATCAACAAATCATTCAGAAAGTACAATCTGAATCTCAAAAAGATGAAAGTGGAACACAAAATATACAAGGTTATACTGTGCAAGCTACACCGGAGGTATTTTTAAATTTGGGATTTAAAGAAACTCCTTTAGTCACACAAACTGTACGAGATGAGTCAAAGGAGTTCAAGGACTATACAAAGTCAGAAGATACAATATCTCGCAACTCGATTGGACAGATTTCCGAATTCCTAAGAATCAAATCAGGGCCTGAACCAACATCTTTAATTACTGTGAATCCTCAAGTTATTTCGCAAACTCATAGGAATGCCACCTGTAAAGAATGTGGCAAAATTTTCAGTACCATAAATCAATTGAACACTCATAGTTGCTCCGTTCAAAGCCTTTTAAGTGAAACTTCCGATAATGGTAGTAATAAAGAAGATCCTTTACAAAATAATAGCAATTCATTTAGTTGTGATGTTTGTGGTAAGCCATTCAAACGAAAAGAACATCTTTATCAACATAGAAAACTACATACTGGTGAACGTCCTTATGTGTGCACCACATGTTCAAAGGCATTTAGTCGAAAAGAACATTTAGTTAGGCACTCTGTATCTCACACAGGCGAAAAAATGCACGAATGTGAAATGTGCGGTAAAACCTTTTCTAGAAAAGACAATCTTCACAAACATCGTAAGACACATGGTGTATCGGGTCCGTATATTTGTGAAACATGTGGAAAGTCATTCGTGGTAAAGCATTACTATCTAATGCATTTAACAACTCATGCTTCAACTATTGGGGATGGTGTAAATTGCCAAGATCCTTTACCATATAAATGTGATATTTGTCACAAAGCATTTTCTGTAAAACAATATCTTACAACTCACAAACTTAGGCATAGATCAAAGAATAATA